TTTCTAGCAAAGACAACGGAGAACAGGCGTTCTTCTTTGGCGCTCGTCTTGGGCACAGACTGATGTGCATATACTCCCCCCGTCAGTTCTGGCAGGAATCGACACAGCCCGCTGAGGGCAAAGTTGCATCCGATACATACGGTACCGAAAAAAAAACAGGTACCGACGTATTTTTTGCATGTTGGCATCGACTTGGTACCGAAGTATCAGTTCTCATGACAACCCTAGTCTCCTATGAGCCCAGCCTTCAAGATGTGCAACACTCCGTTAAATGTCATTCAGTTCATCAATTAAAATCAGTAGCATAGTAAGCAGATATGTTCCATGTTATTTTGTTTAATTTCAACAACACAGAGAACAGCTTGAACAAGCTGCGTGAGCTAACGATCAGGTATTTCACTTCCAGCAGTATGTAGTGATGTTACGTGCTGTGCTGATGCTTCGAAGCGTGCATCGAGTAATCCAATTCCACGATGCGCCTATCGAGGCTTGTATCGTTTCAGACGAGTGACGTCATTGATGACGTCCGAAGCCTCGCTGCCCGGCTGTACGACTGGTTTGGGAAGCGGTTCAGATCTTGGTGTGAGGTTTGCACAGAAGTGACACAGAACACGAATATTACCCCTTTTGCCATTATTATATTATATGACACTACACCACAATACAATTTTTAGCCAAATGATTGGTTTATACACACAGGATGCATTCACAAAACAATAAGTTTATTGTAGATGTATTTGATACAGTATAGTCATAATATACTCACTAGAAAATACACTATATTGATAAAAAGAAAGTTATAATATTATTATTATTATTAATAGTCATTCCCAGCAGCTATTACTGACACACGTGTATCACAGATTACATGGTTAAGATCACAGCTGCCTGTTTTACACACTTTGGCCAGCAGGTGGTTTCGTGTGCACATGAAGCCTCAAGAAATGAACCCTTTTCTGAACCTATTTGCTGGAAAGCTTCAATGCTTCATGAGGCTTCATCTCACCATCACTAGCAGTACATGACTGCCAGGGTTCAACGCTAAGTTTTTTTTTTTCACTTGCCCGGTCGGGCAAGTTGGTCAGAGATCTACTTGCCCGAAGTCAGTTTTTACTTGTCCTATAAAAATTGTTTAATTTAAGCGGCTATCAAATAACAAAGACTGCAGTTATTTTTATGTTATGTAATCTTTATTCACACTGTATTTATTAATTAAAACAACATATGTCATGTATTGTAGCTTAATTCCTACACAAAAATGACAGTGTCAGGGCTTAAAGTGAAAAATTTGTCAATCATTCTCCGTCTATAATTTTGCGCCCTACTTGAGCCATGCCCACCTCTATTTATTTTTCACCTTTCTCTCCAGTTCTGCTGTATTAACACCAGTTTTAATATATTTTGCTTCCATCTCTCTGCCCTGCTCTACTGTACTTCAACGCTACTTAGCTCTCTCTCTACTCTACTGGTAGACTACCACATCCACCTGTTGCACAAAACACACACAGCAGTGTTTCCCCTAGGATGGAGTTGTAGCAGCGGAGGTGAAGCACACGCATGAAAAATAATTTTCACATGCGTGAAACTTTTTTGTATGCTTGCAAAGCACAGCCTGCTGGGATGTTTCTATGTATCTACTGGCACCAGAAGGGCTCTTTAGGACTAAGGCCATACAGTACATGTGTGCACAGTAATGAGCAGGTGAAATGTCTGTCTAGCTTACATATGAGGTGTCTCAAGATTTAGGAACATACAATTTTATTGCATATAATAAAGTAAAAAGTCACTTGACATGCTGCTGTTTTGTGCTATGACCTATTCAAGTGTTGGAAGTTGTTATTTACATGACAACGCCTGAATGCAACACAAGCTCAGCATGAGTGCTGTGCTACGCTGCTGTGCGAGCAGCGTGTTTGTCTGTGCGTAACAGCAGTCTGTTGGTTATTTACACACTGTCCATTTCAATAACTTTGTCAGCTGACAAACTGCACTGGGCTCGGGGTCAGGTTTGGTCAGGAAAATGCGGCCCGAGCCGCTCTAGCATGATCACCTGTGTGTGTGGCGGAACTCCGCCGTGCGCGATACAGAGAGCAGAGGAGAATTGTTAACGTGTGACCATGTAGAGACAGAAATGACACGATGGCATAACACCATAAATAGTATATTGTTATGTTATTATATGAAGCGTCCGTCGCGCAAAATAATATCAATGGGGGCTGTGGGCAGGACATTGTTACACAGCTGTGCCTGTGACTTCAGGAAGAGAGACCGCCGCATCAGAGCAGAAGAGCACATTTTAAAATACATTTATTTTATCAATTAGTTATTAACTTTTACTATTTTTAGCAACTTGCCCGATCGGGCAAGTGAGTTGTTAGTTTACATGCCCGACCGTGAGTTTTACTTGCCCCGGGCAATTGGGCAATCCTTATTGTTGAGCCCTGACTGCCCATGCGTTCTACTTCCGAAACACGGCGGTTGGGGTGCATTTGATTTATTGTACTGGGACATTTGATTTTTCCACAACTGGACCACAGACGTCAAAAAAACGCCGCTTGCACCGTGACAGGACAAACAATAAATGAAACAAACAAAATTCCACACATTCTTGTGGTTGGCTCAAATGCTGTCAGCGTGATTTAAGTAGTAAATATTTAAATAGTTTATTGAGTTTATTGCGGATGTTGATCAATGTTTTTTATAACGAAAAATAGGTAAAGAGGAAAAGAGAAAAACAAAAATGACATGCATGGTTTTAAGTGTTCATTAGGGTTTCATACATGCCAGCACCCTAAACATTTTAAAACAAATATTTTACTATACACAAAGTGTTTCTAATTTCTTTCTACTCCATACAGGTACAGTAAAATATTGAAATGTTTTCATTTGTTTGTTTTGTTTTTGACTGGGCTTTTTAAAAATGCACGAAGCGAGGAGAGGTGAACAATGTGAAGCAATGAAGGTTGTGGTAATAGTACTGGCAAGAATTTAAAACGACTTTCACCCCTGTACTTAAGTAATATCAATCTGTTGATAGAAATGGTATTGTATATGCAAATATTTTAATAAAGTATTTCTTGTTTAAGTACATGGGATCTTAGGATTTTTTTTTTTTTTTACTGTGGTATCGACTTCGGTATCGAGAATTGTGTAATTTTACTGGTATTGGCACCAACTACAGAATTTTTGGTATTGTGACATCCCTAACTTTGACATGCAGACTGGGGCAGCCGGGGTCAAAAAGCCAATCTTACGATATGTGGACGACACCACTCTCCCTCCTGAGTCACAGTCAGTCACGTAGTTTGTGCAAAGCCTTTCAGATTTCCATGGCCTGCCCCCTCACAAACCTTATAGTGTAGCAATAGCCTTTTTTAAACAGGAATTGGGCAAATTTGCAGGAAAGCCCAATCAGTCTTTTTTCAGCATTGGCAGTATAACAACAAAATCTGGGAGTGCAGCAAAATGCCGCCTACCTACGTTTGTTTATACATAATGCGCCTTTTTCGGGGCAATGGGGGGTGTGAACAGGTAACAAAACCTGTAGCTCAGCATGTGATGTAAACAGTGACGTGGGAGGGAAGCCGCAGCTAGTCAGTCCTGCGGCGATTCTCTCATTCTTCACCGTCCCCATCATTTGACGGTTAATGGCCTCTTTATTTGAGAGGGCAAGGAGGGCACACAATTCCTTATCTGTCCAGTTGCTCATCTTTACTGTAGTGTGTGTCAGGTTTGTGTTTCCCTCTTGCTACTTACTGCTCGCTAATTCCTGCTATCAACTGTTTCCTGTTTATCCACCGCCAGTGGCTCGCACGTGCGGCGTCATCAACAGCCCCTCCCCTTGCAGAAGGCCACCTCGGTCTTTTTAAACTAAAAGGGTTCCGCTAATATGACTACCCTACGAGGTGGAAAATTGGGCACCTCGGATCAACTCGCCAATCCGACTCTGTGTGTCTAAACAGTTGCAGCTTGCCGGCAAAACGGCCCAATATTTGCGGAAAATCAGGCATTGTAAAAGGGGCTAATCATTTGATGCTGTGAGAGCCCCTCTTTGCTTAGAATAAAAATCTGACTTGACTTAGTTCTGATGCTAGGTCTCCCACTATTACAATGCCACATAGTAAGCAATGATTTGCTGAAAACGTGAGGCACAGCCATACTTAAAGCAGGTGAACAATGACTGCAAGTTGAGTTAATTGAATGAGCTTCAGATGCGCAGATGAAATCCACAGGTGTCATCTGAATGCAAGCTTCAACGGAAGGGATAAAGCTCAAGGAAATCTGACCTTTTGTTGAAAGTAGATAAGTTGGTCAATGCCACAAATTTGCTTAAATTTTACTGCTGACCTAGATATGGCGCAGGTTCTTGAAAATTTCTTCATCATTTTATGTAATAACTTATTGTGTGTCTGAATCCTATTTATGACCTCAAGTATCTAAAATCCTGGTTAGAGCCTTCTAGAGCCTTGATTGTAGCTCAAAAGCAGCACTGTTTTGATATCTTATTTCGATGCTGCATTTAAATGAGTGTTGGAGAAAACAAAAATGTTGTTTTCAAGTTACAATATACTGCCGTTTTGAGTTTCCTGTCTACGGCAAACTGATAGCAGACAGCTCGACAAAGCTCAGCTATGCTATGCTGTAACATGTTTGCTTGTTCGAGAAGAGCTACTTCAGTGGGTGAAAAACACAATACTGACATCAACAAACCCACGAAAATGCTGTTAGTTTACAAAACAACAGTAACTACATTACCAAAATGTTACACACGGCCGCCCGCTTCATTTTCAACAAACGTTCATTACACAATATACTCTTGAATATTAGGAAAACGAAGAGCGGTGTAAGCTAGCGGTTGATGTACAGGACCCCCAGTTTTTCGTCTTTTACAGCTAGCATAGCGTTATCGTAATTTAGCTAACGTTAGCAGCACAACACAACACAAACTCGTACAACCTACTGGGTGTCGGATATAACGTTCCCTGACTGTAAAATCTTACCTTATAATAGACATCGAATTGTATATTTTCTGGGAGCGACCGTATGTCCCTTCTCGATCGGCTGTAGTTGTCCACCACAGCCGAGATAGCGGTGTTGTACAGTGTTTCTGGGATCCATTCGAGCTCCACCGCAGCCATGTTGTTTTCCCTCTCCAAAAAAAAAAACACACCAGCAGCTACAGCCCTCCCCAACTCTCCCTACATTTACTACGTTTCTGCGAAGCACTTCCTTCGCGAGTCCTCATGTACTATTTGCTTTAAAATAAGGCTACAGATGATTGTACTGTTGCCAGTTTACCACTACAATTCTAAAACCACTGTTTAATAGCCATCTATCCCTTTCATCTCCAATTATTCGTCGACCCTACAGCAGTTCCGTGCCCCCGTCCCGACGCAGACATTCACTGGCGTTGACGCAGTGACGTAATTGTGCAGTCAATGCAAAAAAAAAAAAAAAAAAAAAAATCCTTAAACACACATAAACATACAAGGAGAAATGAACATAGCCTATCACACGTTTTTTCTTTGTAGTTCAGCAAGACTTTGTTTGAATTCATGTATGTTAAATTGTCCAGTTCCGATCCTCTGTTTCCTTAATTCCTGTTTCATTAGAGAGCAAATGTACTCAACAAACCTGAACATGGTCAGTGTTGAAGAATGTGTGGTAACATATCTGCTAGTTATTTGTTTATATTTTTGGAAGTGTCCTGTAATTTCTTCTTACTGGGTAGATGTGTTTACAAAGATCAGATCAACAGTGAGCTTAGGGCTGGATTTTAACCTAATTTTTATGAAATATGTCGACTGGGCTAATAAAACAGGACAGGTATTTATTACAAATATTACTTGCAGGTTGTAAAAAGGCAGTCATCAGGAAATGGCCGAGTAAAGAGCCTTCAACATCTCTGAATGGATAGAAATAGTTATGGAAATTTATGTTACGGAACAACTGACTTTTTCCTCTGAGACTTGCCACTAAAAAGTTGAAGTTTGAAGTGAATTTTTACTTAAATGTGTATTTTGTCTGGCGAATTTTGTTTTATTCCTTTCAGTATTAAGACATACAGAATGGACTATAGCTTATGAATGAGGGGAAGATTTCTCTCTCCTTAAAAATACCCTGGCTTTCCATGAATCAAAGTCGTTGATGATAAGGACCTTAGTGATCTTAAAGGATGATCATGGACATAAAGTAAGTAAGTAAGTAAATTTATTTATATAGCACTTGTCACAGAGAGGACTCACAAAGTGCTTCACAAGATAAAATACAAAAAATACAATAACAGAAACAATGCAAAATACACAAAAACAAATAAAAAGTAAAGTGCAGCGAAATACAGAGATGATACAATGGACAATTAATGGAACGCAAGCCTAAAGAGATGTGTTTTTAACTGCTTTTTAAAAATGTCCACGGAAGAGGCCGCTCTCAGCTCATGAGGTAGTGCATTCCACCATTTCGGTGCAACAGCCTTAAAGGCTCTATCACCTTTCGTCTTTAATCTTGTGTGAGGGACAGTAAGTAGGTGGCCTTCAGCGGACCGCAGTGACCTGACAGGACAGTGAAAGGACACCAGATCCGTCAAGTATGCAGGTGCTTGACCATGGAGGGCTCTGTAAGTGATGGTTA